GTCGCCAAGGCCAGGTTGGCCAGCGCCTCCGCCGCCGTGACCAGCTCCGCCGCGAGCATCAGCCAAGCCGAATCGAATCCCACAAAACTGTGTTCACTCGTAGGTGCGCTCTTCGGCTGCCTCCCGAGTGCGCCTCGCTGCAGTTCTCGCCTTAGCAGGCGGCCCAAGCAATCTCTCGGGACCGATGGGGCAATGTCCCGCTGGCCATTCAAGTCCGATCTGAGCGCCGTCGAGAAGCCCGTCGCGTCGGTGATGTTGTGCTCGGGCCGAAGACTAGGAGCAATCCGCGGGAACCTGGCACGGAGCGCCCGTAGGCGATGGCGTCGACCAACTGCGCGGGGCCTCTCTGCGATCGTGTCGTCGAGCGGAGCGTGGCGCATGGAGTTGATCTCCGCCTCGAGCTCTGGGGTCACGCCACCGCCGAGCTCGCCCGTTGCGTCGGCGGCTGCCCCGGGCGGGCCCCCAGGCTGAAGCGCTGCTCACGTGGTCGCGTCATGATTAACAGCAGGCTGGGCGTTTCAGAGTTGAACGCATCGGTCCATGACCCTGGTAGATGAGGCACATCGTCGAGAAATCGCACTTTGACGAACCTGAATGCAAGCGTGCTTCTGGCGAGCCCCTGGCCATCTCTCACGAGTTTTGGGAACGGTCCGAAGTTGGTCTGGGGCCACGCGCTTCCTTCCGCGACCTCCTTCCTGAGTGCTGCCCTGGAGAATCCATGGGCGAAGCCCGGCGCGCGCCCTTCTCTCGGGCAGTCGAGAGCTCGGCCGCCAGTCGCCCACGTCTCCTGCGACATGGGAAGTAGCCTGCGAATGACATGATGCGCCCAAGCCACCTGGTATACCACAGCACGAGGCCGAACTCGCATGGGAACCTATCGCTGGTAAGAACACCGAACACCTTATCAACTCGAACTTCGTCTCTCACGCCACCTAGCATCGCTCTGTCGAAATGGCCCCCCGCCGACCGAAAGGAACACATCCAACCCGACGAGACAATCGGGCGACTTTGTCTAACGCCACCCCGCGAAAGAAGGAAGCGATGCATCCGCCATGGGAGAAGCCAGCCCATGTCGCCCGATGCGCTTCCAAAGGTTGGCCAACGCGTCCCTGATGCCCTTTTTGCGGCGCGATCCAAAACAGTCAGCTCCTCGTTCTCGCCCCGTGCAAACGCACTTCGGTTTTTCCCGGGGGGCGAAGCATCGGGGGGCAGGGGGGAACGAAGGCGGCAAGGGCGCCCCCCCTCCCCCGCCCCCCCCCCCCCAAAAAAAAAAAACATAACCCATGCATGAACTTCGTTGGATGTATAACCAGACGCATACTACTGGGGAGAACTGCCCCCCCCCCCACACCCCCCTTCGCGAGCGCCGCGGGCGGCGCGAAGCGCGCGCGCGGAGGGGGCTCCGATGGGGGCCCGAGAAACCCAAGCGCTGACCAAATGGGCCTCGCGACCGCCGGCCCCCAAGACCCCACTGCGCCCAAGCCCGCGCGGGGCCCCAGCTAACCGCGGATAAACCCGCAACCCGGGCGCAGAGATGGGATCGGATGGGCCGAAGCCCATTCGATAAATGAAGGACAACGGAAGAAGCGGAGGAGGGGTTTTGGAGGGGGACGAAGCTTCCATCCCCTGCGGGTCGAAGTTGACCCCCACTGCGTTGAGTCGCCCGCCCCTGCAACCTCGCCCCGAAACACCGAGATGAGCGCTTTGACCCGCAACGGGAACGACGGGAACCATGACAACGAATGGCAACCAGCACGGATCGACACGTCGATGTTGCGCCTCCACCCGGGGACCAGCATCGCCATCGGAAAACAGCGAAACCTCACGAGGCACTCGACATGCATGGCCAAGCTGCGCGACACAAATATGGCAACAAGTCGTTCATTTTGGCTAGTGCGCATGCCGCGCCCATGTCGCTCACAGTAGCGCGTGCTCTGCGAAGGAATCGCCTCGCGCAGTCAACCGAACCACCGAAGCAGAGCCAGACCTGCCGCACCAAAAGCGGCGCACTTGTGCGGGGCAGCCAATTGTGTCCCCATGAGCAACACAGGTGAAAACATGCGAGTGGCGATGTCGTCGATGCCGCGGCGAATATTGAACGACGCCGCCTGCGTCTCCCGCCCCCTGCCTTGCGGCAACCCGTCGATGTGCGCATGCGCGCCGATCGGTTTCCAATCGATTGATTCATATACTCGCCGCGCGAGCCTCATTACCATCCAATCGACGCGCACCCTTGCTGACCGGAGTGCCTCGCAGCGAACTTTGCGACGACGAGGCCTCGAGGTGTCACGTTCCAGGCCGAGGCTGCTCTCAAACAGGTTGCCCCAATTCTTGGCTCATTTCCAAGTGTGCCTGATTGGCCGAAGATATTCGGATGCCTTCATCCACTCGGTTACCATCTCAGCTGACATGGGCATGCGACGACGACGGGCCAGAGGTGCATAAGCTGGCTCCTGAATTAACCTCGGCTGATGCACTCGCGGGGCATTGACGCGCCGAAACCTCTGAAGAACTCGAAGACCTGGCCCATGATGCACACGTTGCCTAAATCGACCATCACTGCATCGCTGTTAAGCACACGTTGGATTGATGATACAATAGCAATGGCTCGATCTGGACACAGAACCAATGGACAATAAAACGGCTGGCCCGCACGACAATGGAGGAATCTATCAAACAGGTCACACCACGCGCCATCCGCACCAGCAGATACCCCTGGCGTGTGAAGAATGTACTGGCTGTCCCGCGCTACTTCAAATATATCATCTGCTGCGCGAGCATTGCAACCCAAAGGGCATGCCAACTCAATGCTTTCGGTTGTAGGGTGAACGCACAACCCAGAAACTTCGTGGTCGCGTGCACGATCCAGCGATGCATATAGTACGACGTCGTTGGGGCCTTCCGAATTTGCGGCCATCTCATTCGCAGCGTCTTAGCAACCTCCATTTGCCAAACGCCACCCCAAAGAACCTACAATTTCCATCATCGAACCTGCTCCGACCAGCCCTGCTGAATTCACGAGACCCAGAGGCACCATAAATTCCAAGCATGAAATACACGGTGTCTGTGCCCTCGATGCTGGCCTGCTGCCTCCCTCCGCGACGCGTCGCGGCGGTCACTGGAGGCGGCAAAGGCGCAGGGGGTGCAACGTCTGCTACGCCCTCGTCGCCGCAAACCTCATCGTCATGCATTTGAAAGGACAGCGCTGCAACCAGATCTCGGGAATGGTCGATTTAAACATGCTTGAGCCCGCATGGTTTTCGAGAAGGCGCGGGTTGTCGGCTGTTTCAAAATATTTTGAAGGGATTCGTGGGGCATGCAAAATTCCCGTCGGGGCCGCGGGGCCACGGGCGTTTAACCGGTCTCGTCAGGGTGGTTAAGTGTTCGTCTGCAACCGCCAGCAATAGATTACAGCCCCTGAGAATACTTGAAAGCACAAAGCTGACGATCCCCTCTCCCACCAACAGGCGTTCCGAATTGAGAGGGTCCTTCATAACCAGCAGGGGCCCTAAAAGACGTTCGCTCACGTTTGCACTTCATTGGGCGCAACTGTCGCCATTGTGACTTCGACAAACTCCAAATATTTGGGGGGCGAGCGCGCGCGCGCTGGGTAGGAGCCGTAGGTACACCACCTCAAGAACAGAAGGGGGGAGGCTCGGCACTTAGACGCCATGCGGGCACACGCGACACAACTGTGTAGTGCAGGTATATATCATACGTAATTACCTAGACGCTGTGGGACAGACTCTGTCGGACCTAATTACAGTGTCCTAGGAACTATCCAATGGCCAATTCGTGCCGCATCCTTGGGGGAGTTTAAATTTGATTTCTGCGATCTATGTTTGAATTGCCTTTTCTACCTTGCACTACCCTTGCATGGGCGAGATGCAGCCGTAAGTTTCCGGGCGTGCCTGGCTACTGCTGCTCCACCGCGTCCTCCGCCTCCTCCTCCGCCTGCTTGTCCTCCCCCTCCACCTCCCAATCTTCCTCGTCGCCGCCGTCACGGTCGGCGGCACCGGCCGCGAGGCTTTGAAAATACATCGCGGAGGAGTCTCAAGCGAAACGGCTGCTGGGCTGGGCGATCTCGGACGGCCGGTCTGCGTGGGCGAGGCTCCCCTACCCGCGGCGGCGCGAGTCGATCGCCGGAGCGCTCGGGCCGCGCAGGCGAGCGCCGATCGCCAGCGCTGCCAACTCCTGAAGCTGCTCGGTTGTGGTCACGTCGGCGCCTCCCTTGGGGGCGCACGCGCGATATCGTTCCCTAGTAGCGTTGGAACCGCTGCTTGGGAGATGCCAGTGCCCCAAACATCCGCAGCTTCAGCTTGCTCGACGCGTGGGCTCACAGAGGCTTGCACCACTTCCCTAGAAGGCCCGCCCCTTCTCGTTCCGAGCCGCTCTCTGACGGTCCTGGGGCGGCGGTGGAGGGCCCCAAGGGGCCGAGCACCGCCTCCGCTCGGCGGCGATGGAGGGGGGGCCAGCGGGAAGGAGAAGGGCTTCTCAGAAGGTTCGGAAGCCACCCCAGGCCTTCCGAGAAGTTTCCTGAGCCTTCCCCGGAGACAAACAAAAACTTATCGGAAGGCGTGAGGGCCCCTGATCAATTCCGCCGCCTTCTGAGAAGGCCTTCTCCTTCTCATTTCCCCCCCCTCGCTCGCCGCCGATCAATTTCCGCCGCTCCAATTTTGTCGGGACCTCGGGTCTCAGCGTGGGTCGGGCGCGCCCGACGGCGGCGGCGCTGCGCCCGACGTCGGCGGCGGCGCCTTCGGCGGCGGCGGCGCTGTTGGGGTGGCGGCGTGCCCGGCGTCTGCTCACGCACGAGGAGGGGCGAGGAGGAGCGAGGAGGAGGAGAGAGGAGGAGGAGGAGTGAGGAGGAGGAGGAGGAGGAGGAGGAGGAGGAGGAGGAGGAGGAGGAGGAGGAGGAGGAGGAGGAGGAGGAGGAGGAGGAGGAGGAGGAGGAGGAGGAGGAGGGAGGAGGAGGGCTCAGGGATCCGGGTGGGCAGCGCCGCCTTCCCGCAGCTCGCTGACGGCGCGCACCGCCGCGTCCGTGAAGCGCTCCCAGCCGCGCCCGGCGTGCGACAGGGGCCGCCCGCGCTCCACGGTGAGGGCCGCGTTGAGGAGCAGCACGCCCTCGGCGCGGGCCGGCAGGGGCACGGAGGGGCCCGTGCTCGGGGGAAGGGGAGCGCTGGCGGTGCGCGCCAGGGGGTGGAGGGAGGGGGGGTGGCGTCCTAGAAGGAGGCTGCTTCTCAGAAGGCGCCGGCCTTACCTCTCTAGATGAGGCCCACGCCTTCTAAGAAGCATGGGGTGCTCCTCAGAAGCCGCCCCCCCTCCCCCCGCCCCCCTCTGCGCGTGGCCGAGAATGGGAACGGGAAGGTCGGTTATCACGCGAGCCCTCCGCAGGTTCGCCGCCCTCTGACGGCGCACCGGACTCCGTCCGGTCATCAGCCGCTCACACAGAGGCACGTGCTCGGGGCCCCTGGGCCGTCTGGTGACTCCCGGCCTGCGGCCCGCGTGAGCCAGTGCTCCGCCGCCCGCGGCGTCCTCGCCCCCGCCGCTCCAGTGTGCCCCTCGGCTGTCCAGACCGCGTCTTGGGCCCAGGCCGCTGCTGACGAGCAGAGTCTGCTCCATGGGAGCCCGTGTGGTCCCCAGCGCTGTCCGAGTTGGGCTGGACGTGGAACACATTTGAGACCGGATTTGGACTGGATTCGCCCTTTCAAAGGGAGACGAGAAGAACAAGGGGGGAAAGGAGGAGCAGAACGGGTGAGGAGGAGCAGAAGGGGCAAAATACGGTCCACTTGCAAGAGAAGCTGAATTCCATGTTGCCGCCTAAGGCTCCCGTGAACAGACGTCATATGGAGACCATAGTGCGCGTCTAGTCTCTTGGGGCCCCTCTGGGGCCCCTCTGGCTCGAGTTGGGCTTGGGCACTCTTGGAATCGTTTTGGCTCCCCTAGAGCTCGCCTGAGGCATGAGAGGGATTGGGGGGCAAACGTGAAGGACGAGGCGGGAGGGAGAGTCCTCCTCCCCCTCCTGGAGCTCAGTGGGACCTGGCACCAACAGGGCCGTAACTTTACAACGTGTATAACACATGCCCGTTGGTCATGAAACGGACCAACAAACGTCTCTCCGAAATTGTAAACAGAAAGCGATTCGCCGAAACGGCTTGGGCAGTCCGGGGATGTAAAACACGTTCGGGACCTCTTCGCAAACACTTAGGGTCTAGTCAAACAATGGTGATCTGGACAAGGCCCCCACCAGGAGGAACGACAACGGTAAAACAGCGGCGCCAGAAACGCCAACAAAAACGGCGACAGAAATCATACAACAACAACGTAACAACAAGAAAAAACGGACCTGTCGTTTCCAAGGCCCCGTACGTCCTGGAGCGCTCATACAGGGCAGGACCCTCCGTTTACAAAGGGGCGCCAATATGGAAGAGGAGAAACGGCTCGCAACCCTCTGGTCGCGTCGGGCCGGGAGACACACCTGTGGGGGAGCTCGTCCATACCGAAACGGGCACTCACAACCTTACCCGCTCTGGTGGGCCTCTTACAAAGCCCACTCCGGGTTAGGAACTTGCTGGACCCTTATCCTGTATACTTCATGCCTCGCCATAAGCAGTATTGCGGAGTTGAGTTGGTGGGACCCATCAATCTGCGAGGGGTGCCCTCTGCAGTGCGAAGGAAGCCACTCGAGCTTAGGCAAGGGGTCCCTCCGATGTTGCTCCCCCCCTTGTCTTGAACGTTAACTCATGTAGAGGGATAGCTGCGCGTGTCTCTTGCGGGGGTCGGGCCCCCCCCAATTCTACGGCACATCCTGTGCCGCCCACTCTGCCCCATGGAAAGGGATACAAGCAAGGACCCTTTTTTTCGAGGGGGGGGTCAAGGGTGGGGTCCCCACGATTCTGCTGCACCACTTCATCAACAACATTATCCCATGAGGTTGCATTTATCGACTTTCCGGTCTCCCCCCCGCTTCCCTCACATGGCGTCCCCCCTCTCAACTCTTCCTCCTCCTCATCCCCCTCCCCTCGCCCTCTCCCTCCGAGACGCGCCCCCCGTACGTACAAGTTTCCGACTACCTGGCCCACCCCGCTTGGCATCCACAGCCTCATTACCAGCCATTGCAAAAGCATTTTGGGGAGCCCCGGCCCATCCTCATCCTTCCTGCGCCATTTTGTCGACACCATTCCTTGCCCCGGTCGTTAAGCCAGCCCTCCGCCTCGCCCCATCCATCCGTAGCTTCGGCGGGCTGGGCTCATCCAGTTCCACAGGCTACAAAATGGTCCCCGAGGACCGATCTCCCAGACGGTAGTTCTGGATAAATCGCCCTCGGATGAAGGGTAAGGGAGTCTTGCCCCCGAACCTCGAGGGTCGAGGACGGAGGTCTTCGGTGGCTCTTGATGAGCTGATCGACACGTTTTTGGCCCAACTGGGGACCTGTGGGGGCCTCCGCGGACCACCTCGGTCAGGATCGGGAGTGACAGTCACACTTACTAGACGGACTTAAAGCCTCTCCTTCCCATCCTTTCCTCATCTCATCGTCATCCGCTGCCTACCCCCTTAACGCCCATTCCCGCCACTCGCCATCCCCCATCCCCCTCCGATCCCCTCCCCAGACTCCCTCATCCTCCATCCATCCCTCCTCCACGCCGCTTGAAAAAATGTGGCCCGTCCTTGGGACTCAATGTGCACAAGCTCACATACAACTGCGCCCATTCTTATCGCGATGAAGTCTGGCTGCGGTGGCATTATTGCCAAATGGGTTTCGGGCGTGTGGTGCCCTACTCCACCCCCTTCAGGGTGCTCTGGTGAGCCAGTTTTCTCTTTCTGCATGCGGGGCCCGGAGGAGTGCATCAGACGATGACATCACTGGGGCACCAGACCAAGTGCAACAGGATTGAATCATCACGCAGCATGCGCAGATGGCTCGAACCTACCTGGATCTGTGCCAGGGGCACGTCAAGGCAAAACCACCTCAACCACGGCCGAAGAGGGATGGACCGACGGAGAAGAGAGTCGGGTGCAGACTCAGAACGGAGAACATAAGCTGCGTACGGTGACCGCCCGAGTCTGAGCTCAAAAGAGGCTATGGCGACTTCGTGGCGTGCCCCTCCCCAACCCGCCATCCGCCCTCTCTGTAGAAGAAGAAACGGCATAAACATAATTTTTTGGCGCTCCGCGCGGACTTCTTGGATCCGCGCTGGGCCCCCTGGCGGCGCCTCCGGCGCCGCTCCTGACTGACGCGCCATCTCTGTCGGCTGCAGGGTGTGTGTACGGCGAAGGGGCTCGAACATGCGGGCCACGGAAGCTCCGACTCGTGGAAGCCCTCGCGCAAGACGCAGCGGCGTGCCCAACCGCCTGCTCTCTCGCAGGTCCAGTGGGCCAGCGCTGTTCGCATCTCCCCTGCTGGTGTGTGCGTGTGTGTGTGTGTGTGTGCGTGTGTGTGTGTGTGCGTGTGTGTGTGTGTGTGTGCGTGTGTGTGTGTGTGTTTGTGTGTTTCGACGGTGCTCGATCGCAATTAACACCTCCATCTGCCGCTCACCCTTGCGGACCCTCTGCGCCGCTGACTTAAACATGTGTGTGTCTGCCCCGCGTGCACGCTTGGTTTCTCTGTACTCACCACCCTCAGATGCTGCCCCCATCAACACTGCTTGATGTAAGGATTGTTCGGCGCGCCTCGCAGTTCTCATCGCTAAGTCGGACCGAGCGGGCAGGAAACAAAACGTGCCTCTGCCCCGCCCCTGTCAAGGGACAACAGAAACTCGCAGGCGTGCGCCCGCACCGGAGAGCGGCACGAGCCGGCGACGAGGCGGTGGCCCCATCCGCCTGCTCGGCCCACGCGGTGAGATCGCCGTGCGTTGGCGGCAGTACCCCCACGTCGTCCTGCGGAGCTTACGCGACCAACCCCCCTGCCCCCCCCCCTCCCCCGTCTCTTCCAGCGACCGCCTCCGACGCTGCCCTCGTCCCTCCCTCCGTCCCTCCCCTTCCCCTTCCCCGTCCGCTCTCCCTCTCTCGCGCACTCTCCCTGTCTCTCCCGCTCTGTCTGTCTTTCTGTCTGTCTGTCTCTCTCTCTCTCTCTCTTTTCTCTCTTTCCAGAGACACCTGGAGGTCGAGGAGGGAAACGTTCTCATCGTCTTCTCCCTCTACGCGAAGCTCCCAACATCTACTGGCTGCCTCCTGTGGTCGTGTTTCTCTCGCGTGGGCGTGCTGCCTACGAGACCAGCATGATGGAATGCCAGATGATCAGGCATGCTTGCATCCAGCAGTGCCGAATGATGTTTGGGAGTTGCAAGTTCTCACTCACTACTACCCATTGCTCCAAACGCTTCAGCACACAATCGCAATCGCATGCGCGCGCAAACCTGCGCGAATGCTTGGGCACCGGATTTCCTCCAGCTCCTTGAAGATGTTGGAGAGACTCCGCGGTATTTTGCATCCTCCCATCTCATAGGAGGTTCATTGGGACGGCGGACGAAAGATGGAGGATAATGACAAGGAGAATGCGAGGAGAGGGACAGGAATAGGAGGGCGATGCGGCCGGATTGCGATGCGGCTGGCCTGCGACTTGTGGGCATTTTGAAGGCTTGGAGACCGCAGCGCGCTGCGCACAACATCCCGCATGCTGCTTCCCACGCGTGTGAATCCTTAATTTTCTTGTCTTGGTCATTGCACTGCGTCCTGTACCGATGTGCTACGCGATGCTATGGCCAGGGGCAAGTTGCTTAACGTGTCGCGGCGGCGGCCCCAGCGACACGCTGTGCCCTGCAAGCGGATAGCGTGTCGCTCCGCTTCGCGCGACGGGAGGCTGAGAAGTGCTCAGGACGTTGACGCCTGGGGACCGAGACGCAGTGAGCATGACGCGCCGATGCGTGGTAGGCCAGAACCGTCGTCGTGTCACGCCAACCAGACAATCCCGACCACAATACCCCACACGTTTCGCATGCTCCATTGGGCCACGCACTTGAAACCGTTTTCATTCCCCCCTGGCGATGACGGGCGCGACCGCGGGGGGGGAGAAGGGAGGGGGAACAGGTACCGTCGTCACTGTCTGGGAGTGCTTAGAAAGGCAAATTCTCACACGGCGCCGGTGCGAACCGTGACGTGACCGGCGGGGGGGAAGGGCCAGGGCCGGCCACTGGGATTATCGCGATTACTAAAAACAAGCCCCTTGCATCTTGCGCGCTTTGCGTTCCAAGTGGCTTTCGGGGCATAACTCAAGCCTCCAGCGGCCGTTCGGGACGATCTCGGCACCCGCACCCTCTGAACTCTCTCGGCGAGGCGCACCTGCTAGAGAGCGTCCCGAGGCTGTATGTATGCTGCCATCAGCCACGCACATGCGTCTGGCACGATCTGCGTTCCCCTTCGTTCTCCCGTGCCCTACGCTTGCGGCGCGGGAGCCGCGGGAGGCGCCGCAGAACCAACGATGGCGCACCAGGTCTGAGGCAATAAGGGCGCCCGCCCGCAACCCCTTGGCGTGCAACTGCAGCTCCGCGCTCGCCAACCCATCCCACACCTGGAAGGTGGAGGCAAGCGGAATTATACGCAGCACCCCGCAGTCGCGGATAAGAGTGAGGAGCGATGGAGACGTCGGCATTCTGCGGGGCTCTGAAGAAGCCCGCTGCATGCACCGAACTTTCACAAATTATGCAGTGAGCCCGCCGCAGGCGCCGATAGTTACGTATAAGCAATGTGGGCGGGTCGCAGGGAGGGTCGCGGGTGGGTCGCGGGTGGGTCGCGGGTGGGTCGCGGGCGGGTCACAAGTGGGTCGAGGGCGGGTCGCGGGCGGGTCGCGGGCGGGTCGCGGATGGGTCGCGAGGTGGTCGCGGTTGGGTAGCGGGTGGGTCGCGGTCCGGGTCGCGGGAGGGACGACGACAACAAACAACAACGACGACAACAACAACAACCCGCACCGCAGAACCTCACTTCAGCCACGCGCCCAGGGACAGTGAATGACCGTTCGCCCCCCTCTCTGACATATATATATATATATATATATATATATATTCCGATTTATATATTTTTATAAGGCCGGGGACCCCAGAAAAGCGCCCCCCCTCCCCACGTAACGAATTTCGGACTCCCCGGGCTGCTTGAAGCCCCTCCCGGGCTGCTCGGACGCCCTTGCAAAGGGTTCCTTCGGCCTTCCGGCCTTCTCGGAAGGTCCAAAGAGGCCTCCAATATTGCCCAAGACAGCTCGTCGACAGTTCCAAAGTACACCAAAACCTTCAACATGGCTTCCAAACGCCCCAAGAGGCCTCCAAGAGGCTTCCCAAGAGGGCCCAAAGAGGCAACATTCATTTATTTTCAATGGTTTTTGAAGGTCTTTTCGTTTTTTCGCTTTTCTGTGGCAAGATCGGCCCAAGACGGCCCAAGAGGCCCCAAAGATCGCCCCAGCACGGCCCCAGAGGCCCCCCAAAGGGCTCGAAAACGGCCCAAGAGAGCCCCAAAGACAGCCCGAAGACGGCCGAAAGCCTCCAAGACGCCCCAAGACGGCCCGAAAGGGCCCCAAAACGGCCCAAGAGAGTCCCAAAACGGCCCAAAAGGGCCCCCAAGAAGGCCCAAAAGGGCAAAATTCATTGATGTGTTGAAAAGGTTTGAAGGTTGTTTCGGTGTTCGCTTTTTCGGGCCACGAACGGCCCGAGACGGCCCAAGAGCGTTTTACATGGAATTTCCGTGCAAAGCAATTATTGCACGGATGTAGACATCGTTTAACAATAAATTACCGTGTAGTTTTAGCGTCAAACGCTCTTGGGACGTTCAGACGTTGGAAGGCGTTGCCTTTGATATCCGCACGTGCATACATACATACATACATACATACATACATACATACATACATACATACATACATGCATGCATGCATACATACATACATACATACATACATACATACATACATACATACATACATACACAAACATACATACATACATACATACATACATACATACATGCATGCATACATACATACATACATACATACATACATATATACATACATACATACATACATGCATGCATACATACATACATACATACATGCATACATACATACATACATACACACATACGTACATATATACATACATACATACATACATGCATGCATACATACATACATGCATGCATGCATGCATGCATGTATGCATGCATGCATGCATGCATGCATACATACATACATACATACATACATACATACATACATACATACATACATACACATGCACATGCCTACATATGCAAGATACCAATTACATGTGCACACACATCCCTCCCCCCGAACGCATTTCGGACTCCCCGGGCTGCTGGGAAGCCCCTTCCCGGGCTGCTAGACATGCTGGGAAGCTCCCCGGGGGCTGCTCGGACGCTCTTGCAAGGGGGTTCTTCGACCTGCCGGCCTGAGGTGTTCAGACCACGCTTCGCTTGAGACTCCCTCGCGCAGCTGACTTCGGAGATGCCCTGCCCCATAGTACTCGGGCCAATTTCGCCTGAGACATCCTCGCATCGTCAACCTCGGATACGCCTTGCCGCGTATCAGACACGTAGCACTCCGACACGTTCACAAGGCCTCTAGATTTTTCCCAAAGGTTCTGGCGGCGCCCGTCGTTGAGTCCCTCTCAGGTCCTCCTGTCTTTCAACGCTCTCGGAGGCCAGCTCCCAGCGTCTTGCATCCGCGTCAGTTCCAGCCTCCATGCCATGACTTCCGATCCTGAGCGTTCGTGCCTGCCTGTCCTCGGGTCCGCGGGACTCCTCCCATTACTCTTTCCCTTCGCCTTCCTCCTTCCCAGTGTCGGCTGAGACATCCTCGCAACTCTGACCCCAAAGAAGCCCTGCCACAAAGTTGTCCGGCCACTTCCACTTGAGACCTTCTCGAAACTCTGGGTTCTGGGTTCCCTGAGCTGAGGTGTTCCGGCCACTTTCGCTAGAAACATTCTCGCAACTCTGGATTCCAAGATGCCCTGCCGCAGAGTAGTCCGCCACTTTCACCTGAGACATCCTCGCAACCTTGGATTCAGGGATGCCCTGAGCTGAGATGTTCAGGCCATTTTCGTTTGAGACATCCTCGCAATTCCGAGTTCGGGTATGTCCTCAGCTGAGGTGGTCAGTTCACTTTCGCTTGAAACATCCTCGCAACGCAGACATCGGAGATGCATTGCCCCGTAGTAGTCTGGCTACTTTCGTCTGAGACCCTCGCACCTCTGAGTTGCGAGATGCCCTGAGCAGGCGGTCAGGCCATTACCGCCTGAGGTACGCATGCTTCTGCGCACCCATAATTGCATATAGGTGCGTGCACCAACAAACACCTGCGATTGACATAGACATATAAATACACATGTATACATGTAAAATGTATACACGCACACAACAGTATACATGTGCGGTATACGCATATATACATTTATATATATATATGTGTGTGCAGAGCATGCATGCGCGTGCGCGTGTATACATGCATGCGCGCATGTACGCACGCACGCACCCCGCTTGCGTGCGAAACTCAGAGGACCAAGATGCATGGCGCGCAGCACCGATGCATATATAGTACACATATGCTTGTCTTGATTACAAGCAAAAATCTGTATCAATAGGAGGAAAGCTGATAGGGACAAAGGCGGACAGGCCACCAGGGGCTCCAGCAGGCGTGCGTCGCAACGCGAGCATGGTGCAGCGAACTGGCGAAGCCATTGGCAGGCGCAACACACTTAATGAATCGGCGGCGGCTTGGGTCCAAATTGCGGTCTGGCTACGGCAGGGCTGCTGCTGAGCGAAATGCGCACGAAGGCGGGAGGAGAGGGCAGGACCGCAGACGGCCGGAGCGTCCTCAGAGCGTGAGCGCTTCGGGCTGTGCCGGAGGAAGCTCAAGTCGGTGTGGCTGCCGTCCTGCGGGCTCGGCGGGGTTGCGCCTGGGATGCCCGAGAGGCAGCTCGGCTTGGGCTGTGCTGCAGACGCCTCGCCCGTGGCGCTCTGCAGCAGCTGGCCCTGGGCAGAGCCGCGGGTCACCTCTGACGGTGGTCGTCCCGCTGGCCGTCCTGCCCTCGGGCGAGGAAGCGCGCACGCGTCAGTCGCCGGGCGCGGCTGCAGGGCCTGCTGGGGACCTCCACGCTGAACTAAATACTCACCATGAACATGTTCATCATCATCATCATCATCATCATCATCATCAGCATCATCGTCATCATCATCGTCTTCACTATCATCACCTTCACCATCACCATTATCATGTTCATCATCATCATCATCATCATCATCATCATCATCATCAACATCCACAACATCCTCACCAACACCTCCGCAATCATTGTCATCATCAACGTCAACATTACCATCATCAGCATATTCAGCATCATCACCACCACCACCATCATCAGCAGCATCATCATCAGCATCATCATCAGCATCATCATTACCATCAACATCATCAACACCACCATCATCATCAACATCAGCATCAGTATCATCATCATCATCGCCAGCATCATCATCATCAGTATCAGCATCCTCATCATCATCACCATCATCAGCTACATGACCATTGCCATCATCAAGTCATCATCATCAACATCGCCATCACCAGCATCAGCATCGTCATCACAATCATCAGCATCACCAGCGTCATCCCCGACATCATCTGCATCATCATTAACATCGTGATCGTCATCAGCATCTTCATAATCATCATTACCATCACCATCACCATCAGCATGACCATCATCAGCATCGTCAGCATCAGCATCATCAGCATCGTCATTACCATCCTCATCATTATCACCATCACCATCACCATCCCCATCACCACCATCATCATCGTCATAAGCTTCCTCACGATCATCATCAGCCTCATCATCACCACTATCATCATTATAATTCTTACCATCAGTATCACTATCTTCGTGATCGTCGTCGTCGTCGTCCATCATAGCCCGCATTTCCACCAGAGTGCGAGACACGTCCCTGACCGAGCACTGACGCGCGTGCACCTCGTCCAACCATGATGCATGCGGGCTGCTCGAGCGCCAAGGCGCGCATCGCGTCGCTGGCGCTGTCTGCTCGGCAGCAGCTGTATGCGAGGTCAGAGCCGCCTGGAGGAATATGCATACATGAATATAGATTCCTCCCGAGCGGGCCCCGTGCGGGGCCCCCAAAGGACCCTATGTCCTTGCATCTAACCTTACTCAACCTCATAGTGAGCAAGTTCTCCTTCCATAAGGCAGGACTCGCTCATCAAGCAATCTCACACTGCAGGCAGGTGCTGCGCAGCGCGCCAAGCCCAAATGCTCACCATAACCGCGTTGCGGACTCGACAACGCATCGTTGCAACCAACCTACAACGACAAACCGCTGTCATCTGCGAAGGCAAGTGTAAGCCGCAATGTTTTTTTCCCTACCTAGGCTCTGCCTAGAAGGGTTCTTACTCTCTTAGCTCAAAGGGGCCGGGCAGTGTAAAGCGCCCCGGGCGGTTCCCCCAGTCCCCGCCCCGCGGTTCCCCCAGTCGCGCCCCCTGGGTTCACCCAGCTTAGCTTAGCTTAGCTTAGTTTAGCTTAGCTTAGCTCATCTTAGCTTAGCTTAGCTTAGTTTTGCCTAGCCTAATTTAGCTTAGCTTAGCTTAGTTTAGCTTAGCTCATCTCAGCTTAGCTTAGCTGTGCTTGGCTTATATTAGCTTAGATTAGCTTAGCTTAGCCTAGCCTAGCTAAGCTTAGCATAGCGTAGCTTACCTTAGCATAGCTTAGCGCTGCATAACGCAGCGCAGCATTAGCACAGCATAGCATAGCATATCATAGCCAAGCATAGCATAGCGTAGCAAAGCATAGCTCAACATATCATAGCATAGCATAGCATAGCATAGCATAACACAGCGCAGCATATCATAGCATTGCGTAGCACGGCATAGCGCAGCATAGCATAGCATAGCACAGCACAGCATAGCACAGTATAGCATGGCATATCATAGCGCAGCATAGCATAGCATAGCATAGCATAGCATAGCATAGCATAGCGCAGCACAGCATAGCAAAAGCAACACCAATGCGAAAGTGTAGATGAAGATGTAGATGTAGGTGTAGATGTGGATGTAGGTGTAGATGTAGATGTAGATGTAGATGTAAATGTAGATGTAGATGTAGGTGTAGATGTAGGTGTAGATGTAGATGTAGATGTGAGTCTTGCTGTTGATGTTAATGCAGATGTAGATGCAGGTGTAGATGTAAATGCAGCCGTCGGTGTAGATGTAGGTGTTGTTTTCCTAAATGCTCCAACTCCTAGGTAGGGTCGCACTGGGATAATTCAACAGCGTGGGCACCGGAAGTCTCGGCCCAGTGCCCTGGACCGGATTACATCCTAAGTCGTTGTTTTACGCCCCTGGCGAACAACGAAGAAACCCAAAGGCCAGAAATGGCCAACCAACTCTCGCAGCGCGAGAGGGTCTGGACCCCCGCACCAGCAGAGGGAAATAAAAATCACACTACATACTGAACGGATAGCATCTGCAATCATAGGCGCGACATCACGTGTGGTGTTTCCGGCTACCTCGACGCATAGTGACGTACTCGGGCGAACACTCACAACAAGATGCAATATCCCGTGCCCAACCCCTGCGGCGCCTTGCTGCACTGAGAAGCTGAGACCATGCGCTTGGCCAGGGCCATGGTATGGGTCCTGGCCCAGGATGACAACCTCCAAATTGCTTGCGGGTTTGATCAAAGTCTGCCGAGCATGTATGCACTAGCAGTCTGCTGTGAACTTGCAGGCCGATCCCATATGACATGCCTTACGATGAAAAAGCTAATAAAGCGTCGGATAAATTACGTCCCTTCGGGGGAACCCCACTATGGAGCTGCTGCGCACGGTTTCGAGATCTCGAGCGTGTGACTGCAGTGCGATGTACTGCCACAAAGTGCTGATGCATGATCGCTGCACAACGGATGTCTCTTCCGTATGTGCGCATGTTGGTGCATGCGCTATGTAGTGAAATGGGTGGTGCAGGTACGTTAGTTCGCTGTTTGCGGCTGGCACCTTTGGGCGGTCGGTTTGCGACCAGATGAGCTATTGATGTATGTTGCTGATGCAAGCGATCCCCTGTTGCTGCAACTCGTGTGCGTTACGAATGTCTGTTACGACAGCGCGTGTTTGGATAATGCTGCTGGTGCCTAGCTTGAACGGTTTGGGCTAACACATTAACGTGTGATGTAATTACCTGGTGCTGATATGATGTGCATGGGATGTCTTGCTGACGTGCGTTGTTGGTGCATGTGCATGTTGTTTCTCATTGGTGATGTGCCGCTGGTGTACGAACAACTCTAACCTTGCTGATGCATATGACGGGCGCATGCAATCCATGCGTGCGAGTGTGATCTGAGCTCGGTGGGTGCTCCCAACGTAGGATCGAAGCTGCCCGCGATGAATGCTAATGAGATGCTTGGTGTGATGGCGGAGCGTGTCCTCAAACTCCTCATACCAGTGCTTGTACATATGGGGCTGTTGCTTGTCTTTCAAAACAAACTGAATGCATGTTCCAGATTTTCGCCTGGAGCCCGGCTGGTTGTTGCCCGTCGGCGCCTCGTGGGCGCCCCGCGCTTGGTGGGTCTCCCCAAACTTCGCCTGGTGACCGCCCGTTGGCGCCTCGATGGCGCCCCGTAAGGGCGCCCCGTGGGTGCGCTGGCCGCGTGCACCACATGACTGAACCAACACAAGTTACACCACATAACTTGCACCAGATAACGTGCAACGCACAACTCACGCAGCATAGCTCACACCACATAGCTCACACCAATTAGTAGCTGCCACAACAGATCATAGCACACATAGCTTCTACAACACATCTCCCACGACCTATATCCACAACGCGTAGATTACACAACATAGCTCGCATCACAGAGCTCACACCACGTACCTCTCACAACTCAGCTTACCACACATAACTAACATACCAGAGTCTGCAACATACAGCTCGCTCCACACAGTTTACCAAACATAGCTTACACCACACAGTTTGCAGAGCAGGGCACGCACTACCTAAACAGCTCCCCATAGCTTACATGCCATATGTTTCACCATGTAGCTTGCAAGCCATAGGGTCGCCCAACCACTGCAATAGCTCACTGTTTGAATCCACGCTGGCTGGCATGTATGTTCATATGGCCTATATATGTGCGCGACAACGATATGTGAACGTGCGGCCCTCTTTGTAGTGTATTGTAGCCATGTTTAGTGTCCCGCGTGTGTCCGTTGCACGTCAATGTTGTGTTGATGAAACTGGCGTTTGTGTCTGTACTTTACCACCCAGGCATGATCATGATGTGCCTTCTTCGTTTACGTTATCGTGTCCTGTTCTGACGTATGGTACGGATGTAAGTGAGTAGTGGCTGATACAAACGCATGACACTGGCGCCCGCTATGCACGTATATGGTTGGCCCGTGTTCTTGATGTATGATGTTGATGCGCGCTCTTTGTTTAAAGTATTGATGTGCGCGGTTCGACAAGCTCTTTGTTGTATGTGTTGGCATGGACTGCTAGTGCCTGTTGCCGATGCATGTTATGGCTGTCTGGAACTGAAGATCGGTATGCGAGTCGGCTGGAAAACAGCGACCAATCGCGAATGCCTCTTGGATTCGGGGTGCGGGGCGGGGTAAAACACTGCGGTGAGACCAGTGAATGCAGCATCCCAGTCTCACCGCTCCAGTGCCTTCGGAGAAGCCGACCTTGGGCACGCCGTTGAAGTTCATGTCGCGGGAATTGCCCGAACCCGGGATGTTTAGGCGGCCGCACCGATCGAAACTGCTCAGGATCCGATGTGGAGGCTTGGGACATCTTATTCGCTTCCCCCGTAGAAGTCCCGAACCAGGCGGACGTCCATGCTACGGGGGTCCGTCATCCAAGTGTAATAGGAAGCGCACGGGTCTGCGACCTTCCACTCGGCGATTTGACAATCATCGTAAGGAGGCCGTCGACAAGACAGCCGTGACCGAACGCGTGGAAGGCGGTTCCGTCGATCTGCAGATGTCTGCCGATGCGCGCAAACCTCTTCGGATCGGCATCAAATAGCCAATTCGAATCGTTCCAGAAGATCATCACGTACCCGTAGCTATGGTTCGACCTCGCTTGATTTTGGTTGACCCAGAAGGGCGTCCAGATGAAAGGGGGTGGTGCAATAGACTTTAGGCAATTGTATTGCACATGCAGTCCGCCAGAGAGTTGTATTGCAATGTATGGCCCCTCGTGCATTGTACGCGAAAGTCCAGCAACACATGTGCGCACCAGAGTGTACTGCACGTGCCAAATCTATTGCAACCCATCAAATCTAGCTGCTGTACCAGATCTATAGCACCACCTTCTTTTCGCTGGACTCCTTTGGGGTCAACCAGACTCTTTCGCTTTCGCGGTGCCCCAGGTCTCGTGCAGTTCGGAACAAAGCTCGAGAATGCTCGACCTGGTGTTCGCAGCATGGGCGGGGCCTACCCAATCCGACCAGCCAACGCCGTCCCTGAAATTTGAGCCGTCGCCGTTGAAGGCTACCGCCGTCGGCATCCAGACGACGGCTCCGGTGCCACCAAGGACCGCGTATCTCCTTGATGGTTATGTCCTTCACATCGTCTGGGATCCAATCCGTGCACGCCGGGTGCACAGAGAAAGGGTTACGTGTTACGTGCCTTCCACAAACGGTTCAGCGTTGAGACAGAAGTACACGTCCACGGTGCGGCTCCAACGGGCAAGCGGCGAGACGACGTACTCGTCCAGGTTGAGGAAGTAGCGGACGAGCATGCCCGCGAGCAGGACGGCACGAGCCGTTGCCGACAAGCGGCCTCGGCGGTGATTTGTGTGTCAGGAGCCAGCACGCGCGCTCAGCGCAGCCGCAAACGCCCGGAAGCGGCACCCAACTCAGTCGGGCATCACTGGGAGCTGCGCGATGCGCAGCCAGCGACGCGAATTCGGAGCACGCCGCCACTAATGCAACGTGCGTCATGCAGCAGTGGCAGGGAATGCCTCCGCGCCAGCAGCCGCCACTGGCAGCGTCAGCGGACCTGGCACCGACGGTGGCCTGTGGCGACGGTGGACGGGCGCCCTATGCGGCGGCGGCCACTCCCGCCCAGCGGCCACGACCACGATGCCGAAGAGGAGGGCCACAGCAGCCGCGGCGCGGCGGGACGGGCCACTGGCGCCCTCGCTGGCGGGGGCGGGGGCCGCGGCGTCCGTCAGCAGGCCCTCCTCGCTGGCGGGCCAGGCCGACAGCAAGGGACTCCTCCTCCTTCTAAGTCTTCATTTGTTTCGCATTGCACGTGTCCAGACATGCCAGAATCGGCCACGGCTTCACCAACCTGGTCCGAGCCAGGCCTGGACGCGTGTCTGCAGCGGTGCTCTTTCGTTCCTTCCTCGCCAGCGGGGGGTGGGAGCCGGGGCGTCCGTCAGCAGGCCCTCCTCGGCCGAAGCCCCGCGGCTGGGCGAAGCGGGTACGGCCACCCAGGCTTGGGCGGGGAGGTCGTCGGGGGCGCGCGCCAGCCCAGCGCTGGAGCCCCCGCCCGGCATCTCCGCTTATCTCTGCAGGGGCGTGAGCCACAAGGGCCACCCCACAGATCCGAAACTCCGAATAGAACTGGAGCGGCCGTTTTCAGCCTCTTGGGAGCCCTCAACGGGCACCAGGACGGACACAGAACGCACTTAGGACGAAAACCCAGCCGGACCTAGGGAAGTGGTCCAGACCTCCAGGGGTCCACGCATGAACAGAAATTGGAGCGCTGGATATCTGGGTCGGCATCCCCGTGCCACAGGGGCCTGAGTCAAAAGGGCTCAGGGGTCCCCCCCGGGGCTCTTGGAGCCTGGCGGCCGCGATTGTCTGTGTGAGAAGTGAAGCGTCATGCCATGACGCCTCTAGTGGGGCTCGCCGAGGCGAGATCCCCAGACCGCCAGGATTATTGGGGCCTGGCGGGCACGGCATAATGGGTGGGCGGGGCGGCTCGAGAGACCTGTTCATCAAATGTAGCAACCCAACCTGTTGGGTGGGGAATGGACACATGGCTTGCGGATGCGGGCTCACACTGATCACTTGTATTCACCAACAAATGTAAACTTATAAAGAAAAACTGGTCGAACACCTTAACGCTTAAGACGTCCATGTTGAAAGAGAAGGCAACCAGACAGGCGAAGTCAGAGCCTTGACATCTGGTAGATCACATCTCGCGAAGGCGTTGAACATGTCCTGCAAAAGTAAGCCCAAATCGCACCATTGTAGACACCATGTTACCAACTTGGCCACTACACTGGCACACAACATCGTTACGTCCGTGCACACCGTGCATTTTGATGCAATACGATCCAGAACTTTTAGATCGCGTATCGCAGCGGCGGTCCAGGCGACACGGCATCCCTTGCAAACGGATCGCATGTCACTCCGCTGCACGGGGCGGCGGGCCTTGAAGATCTCGGGACGGGGACGCCCGGGAACGAGGAGATGAATAGCGTGTCGCGCGGAAGCGCGGTGGGCCAGGACCGGCGGAGCGACATGCTTAGCCAAAATTCTCGACCGTAACATTAAAAAAAAAGGTGCGGAATTCAGAACACGTGCAAGGTCTGGGCGCTTGGATAATAATGCGTACCCTCACCCCCAACGAAGTCTCCACTTGCGTACCCGTCACACTGCCATTGCGCACGTGGGTATCCGCCTTGCCCAGCGGCTACCCCGCAAATAGTGCACCACCGTCACCGCCGTCGCTCTGCACTACCATTACAACTGCGCCGGCGTGTCCTCGAACACGCATGCTAACATAAATGTTAACCTCCCGTGCTTTCACGATTTTCGCGCGCAACGACTTTTCTGTCCCCAAAGCAGCAATGAACGTACACACAATGACAATGACTATATTGGCCCCGTCCGCACAATCTCCGTACGAGCGTCTACCACGATTGAGTGACCTGGCCCGCCATAAGTCCTGAAGCCCCAGCCTCAACGCTCCGATGCAATGCTGTGGAGTGATGGGCGCTGCGTCTGTGCTGCTGGCTGCGGCAGGAGGCACTACGGTATGGATTCCCGAGCGTAACAGAAACCAGAGCGCCTCCTCCTCCTCTCCTCCTCCTCCTCCTCCTCCTCCTCCTCCTCCTCCTCCTCCTCCTCCCTCCTCCTCCCTCCTCCTCCCTCCTCCTCCCTCCTCATCCCTCCTCCTCCCTCCTCCCTCCTCCTCCCTCCTCCCTCCTCCTCCCTCCTCCTCCCAGAACCAGAACGAAATGTCGCATGAGTCGGAGAGCGAAGCGCCATACGCAGCTCTGAGCAGCACATTCTCGAGGCGTCCTCCGGCAGCGGATAGACCTCTTTGCCTGCCGCCCTCTCCCCATCGACGAACGCCCGCAGCTCTTTGAAGTAATCCGTGTCCATTTCCTCGCAGGTGGCAAATCTACGTTCGCAACGAGGCTTGCGCAGCCGCAAGCGCGCCCCTGGCCCCGAGCGAGCCTAGTTACAGCACGCGAGACGCACGCTCTACTGTACAATCGAGACTCAGCCTGCCGCAACGACAGTGAAGGCAACATCTGATGGTGATGATGATCGCACATCGATGCGCTCACGTTCGTCGGCATCACGCAGCGAGAGCTCGTGCCGCCGCATCCTGGATATCAAGATGCTGCTGGTAGATTGCGTCGGCGGGCCCATCCGGGCCAAGCCGCAGATGAGATGGTAAATCTTGAAAGCGAGAGCTAAGAGAAAAATCGAACGCTCCCTGGAGATCTCCCCCGTGCACTCGCTCTCCTCACCCAGACCGCTGCGGACGAGCACCGGCACTGGCAGAAGGAGCGAGGGAGGGCCGGGAGGTGAAAGGAGGCGGGGACAGGTGAGGCAGTGAGCGATCGAATCGCCTGCGTCGGGGTACTGAAAATAGCATCCGCACTGTACAATCATGTGCGTTCTGCATGTCGTGGCCCAGCCACCCGCAAGGGTTTTTGAGGGTGCGCCAGGAGAATCGAGGGACGCGTCTGGACCAGCGCTGCGCGGAGAGCCTGCCGGCGGGGGCCGAGGAGGAGAAACGACGAGGTCGGGGAACCCAGCGCGCAATCGTGTAGCCAGCGTGAGGCGTAATCTGTCTGGGAAAGGTGACTGGGTGAGGGAACGACTGTACACCCCCTGGGCACGGGAACGTCCCTGAAGCCCTCGACTGAGCACAGCCGCTTGTGAAGCGGCCTCGGACGTCGCACGTCGGGGTTCGGAGGGGACCTTAGGGAGCGCCCTGTGTGAAACCCGATCGTGGAAGTATTGCACGATCGCTTGCTTGGATGATGATGATGATGATGATGATGATGATGATGATGATGATGATGATGATGATGATGATGATGATGATGATGATGATGATGATGATGCTCATGATGATGATGATGATGATGATGATGATGATGATGATGATGATGATGATGATGATGATGATGATGATGATGATGATGATGATGATGATAATGGTGATGCTGATTATCATGCTCTGCTTGTGGGACACCAAGCCGCCTGACCCCACTGCCGCCCTCGAGAACCCCTTGGCAAGGCCTGAGCTGGCCCCACGACGGCGGAAGATCTGTGCAAGACGGCTCCAACATGTACAATACGGGTGTACGGCCACATGCGCCTCCCCCGATGGCCACAAGACGGCTCCCCAAGATGGTTCGACACAAAACTGAGGGCGAGCACGCGCACCGAATGGCCGCCTTGCGCTCGCGATATTATTTTGAATTAATGTCGGGAGCGCGGGGGGGAGGAAGGAGAACAATGTGTTTTAACTCGTTGTCGTGTTTCCTGGGACTTCAACCGCGTTAGTCGCATGACTTCCCGGAGGCCCTAGGATCGTCGATCTTCCCCGAAGCTTGCCCCCGAGACTGACAGCAGCGCCCGAAGAGGCCCACAAGAGGTTACCTGGAGGCTCTAGAGAGGCCTCAAAGATGCCTCTTGTCCACGGCCCAGCCTCGGTGGCGGTATAGGCCGAATGCCATCAGATCGGACAGGGGGGTGAGACCGAAGCGAGACGGAGTCGCCCAACAGGGAAATCGGTTTCGGTTTCGTCTCGTGTCGTGCGTGCGGGACAAAACGCGTTCCTGCACTGCCCATGCACAAGCCACGCCAAAATGAGGTGCTGGGGCGTGCCTGGTGCTGTCCAGCGGTTGTCCCGCGGATGTCCCGATGGTCAACCTTCTTGGTTGCCCCAAAAGTTGTCCCTGTGGATGTCCCGATGGTCGTTCCGATGGTTGTCCCGATGGTTGTCCCGATGATTGTTACAATGGCTGTCCAGATGGTTGTCCCGATGGCCGTCCTGATGCTTGACCCGATTGCTGTCGTGACGATTGTACTGATGGTTGTCCCGATGGTTGTCCCGATGGTTGCCCCGTTGATACTTCCGATGGTTGTTCCGATCGCTGTCCAATTGGCCGCCCCGATGGTCGTCCCGATGGTTGAGCGATGGTTGTCCCGACGGTTGAGCCGATGGTTGCCCCCATGGTTGATCCAATGGTTGTCCACGGTTGTCCCGATGGTTCTCCCGTGGCTATTCCGATACTTGTCCCGATGGTTGTCCAGCTGGTTGTCCCGATTGGTATCCCGATGGTTGTCCGTTGGTTGTCCCGTGGTTGCCCCGATGGTTGTCCCGATTGTTGTCTGGCGGGTTGCCCAGAGAGCTCCCCCGATGGTTTATCTGCTTGTTGTCCCGATGGTTGCCACGATGGTTGCCCCGCTTGTTGATCTAATGATTGTCCAGATGGTTGCCCCGATGTCTGTCCCGATGAATGTCCCAAGGATTGGTAGTCCTAATGGTACTGCTTGTTGCCCCGATGGTTGTGGCGATGGTTGTCCCGATGGTGTTGCCGATGTTTGTCAAGATGGTGTTCCCGAAGGATGCCCCGATGGTTGTCCAAATGGTTGTTCCGATGGCTGCCCAGATGATTGTCCCGGTGGTCCTACAAATTGCTAGGCTGTGGTTGTGCCGTCGTTCTCCAATGGTTGTCCCGATAGTTGACGCGCGGCTGTCCCGTGGTTGTCCCGTGTTTGTCCAGTGATTGTCCTGTGGTTGTCCTGATGATGTCCTGCGTTTGTCCCATGATTGTCCGATGGCTGCCCCACGGTTGCCTGTCCATACACTATGTGAATTCTAGCGTGACCAATGTGTTGATAACGAATCAGCCGATCGAACGTGAAACCGACAAATACTCTGACCCATCGGTAATAATGATGCTGGTATCGATAGCTCGTGAGATCGATTGGAAGTGGGGCCGATTGATGGACAGTGATGCCGATGCAGCAGCAAGAGAGTTTAATATATTGTGAAACCACTGCGGCGCCAATCGCAAACCGAAAGCTGCACCCATCACCCCAGCATCCTTATCGCCCGAAGGGTGTCCTACAAGTAACTGCACATATTTTAGACAGCCATCAGGACACGACGGAAATGACGTGTACACTAAGCAGGTGCAGCAATATGAACTTCGAACACCTACCAGTCACATGTCGATGGACGACGAGTAGCCAGACTCACCAGATGCGCTACCTCGCATCCTGGGGAAGAAAGGCGACGATCATGAACAAGTGTGGCAGGACGGCACATCAGTACAGAAAAATAGATACAGACAGATATTCGTATACATGTAAATACCTACATATTGCGGGCTCCCGTTTGTTCGTATACCAGCCTTTTGGTCCCCGGCTCCTCCCAGCCATCCGCACATGCTCGCACAGACCGTTGATGATTCTCAGAAAGCCGATTTGTATCGACAGCGGCCCCGCCAAGAGCCTTGACGGGGATGGGCTGGCATACCCCGAATCGCGCGGCCCTGGCGATCGGACACAGCATTGTGAGAACCCCAAGATGTCTCAGGCGAAATGACCCAGAGTGCCTCAAGTCAGGGCATCTCGGAGGCTGGGGTTCCGAGGATCTCTCAGGCGAAACGGGCCTGAGCACCTCGAGAACCGCCTTTTGGAACCTTCACTTGGCAGGATATCTCAGGCGGAATGGGACAGAGCACGTCAAGTCAGGGCCATCTCGGAGCGAAGGGCCCGAAGATGTTTCAATCGACACGGGCCGGAGCACATATCTTGGAGCCCGCAGTGCGAGGATGTCCCAGGCGAAACGGGCCAGACCACCACCAGTCAGGGCATCTCGGAGCCAGGTGCCCGAGGGCATCTCAGGCGACACGGGCCTGAGCACCTCCACAACCACCTCTTGGAAACCAGAACTGCGAGGAGGCCTCGGGCGAGACGGGCCCAGAGCATCTCCGGCCGAGGCACCTCGGAGCCTGGGGCCCTGAGGGCGCCCGACGTGCACCGGGCCAGAGCCTCTGCGGGCCACGGGGCGCGCCGAGCTCTCGTGAAGGCGGCCCCTCCCCGGCACCTCCCCGGCACCGCCCTCGGGGCTGCCGGGGTCGCCCGGTAGGCGCTACCCCTGGCGACCCATTGCAAAAAATTGCAAAAAAAGATTGCAAAAAAACCCAGGATTGCAAAAAAACCCAGGATTGCAAAAAAAACCCTGGGTTTTTTTGCAATCCTGGGTTTTTTTGCAATCCTTTTTTGCACCCGGGGCTCAGGCGCCCTGCCCCCCCCCCCCCCCTCCTGCCAGCCAAGGCCCTGGATGGAGTCCAGAGCAGCCCCACAGCAAACAAAGGTGGCCAGCGAGGACCATGCAGCTCTGGTAACGCACGCCCACCGTCTAAAACAAACGCAATTCGAGACATGCCCGCAATCTGGACGCAAGCAGGCCCGTGAAACACCCTTGGTCGGCAGAGCACCGACCCGTACCACAAGGCACGACCGAGCCGCGTCCAGCCCTGGTGACGAGGAGTGCCCCGAACGCATCGATAACACAAGTACAAGTCTGATCTTAACGCGGGCATTATCCTTCCTCATCCTCTTCCTCCTCCTCCTCTTCCTCCTCATCCTCCTCATCCTCCTCAATATCCTACGCTCCTGCTCCCTCAGTATTCACCCTCCTCCTCCTCCTTCTCCTCCTTCTCTTCGCACTCCTCCTCAGCAGTTGCTCAGAAATTTGAAAACGTTTTATGCGAAACTGGCTAGACCACCTCGCACGCGGCATCTTTGTACCCAGAGTTGCGAGGATGTCTCAAGCCAATCTGGCTAGATCACCTCGCGGCCGGCATCTCCAAGCCCAGAGTTGCGAGGATGTATCAAGCGAAACGGGCGGGGACACATCAGGTAACGGCACCTCCGAAGCCAAAGTTTCCACGATGTTTCAAGCAAAAAAAGGCCAGACCACCTCTCGCGCGACATCTGGGCGCCCAGAGTTGGCAGGATGTCTCCAGTGAAAGGGGCCAGACCATCTAAGGTCTGGTCATCTCGGAATACGGACTTGAAAGGATGTCTCAAGCGAAACGGGCCGGCTCAGCCGAAAGTCTCGAGAA